GGTTAAAAATAAAGAGACAAAAAAAAAATCATATATTTTTTTTTTTTTAATTTTGTTTTCTGCTCCTCAACCGAATATCCTTTTTGATTAAAATAAATTTATAAAACAAACATTTGACCGGCAACAACATAGTAATTATGGAATAATAATAAAAAATAACACCAAAATAAAAAATAATATTCGAATTGTATAAAAAATTGGACGAAAAACCAAATATCAAATGAAAAAAAAAATTTTGTATTTTTATCGGAATGAAAACTCACACAACATTACAAACATACTCATATATACCACATATGTATATATGTTTGTAGAAATGTATGTGCTTAACATAAATATGATTTTCTTTTATGGAAAATAAAACAAAAAATCAAAGAAATTGAAATAATTTCATGTGACATCATAACCCTTTATTTTCTATATGCTTACACACATACATACATATATGTGTATAATAATATAATTAAATATACCATTTATCTGTTTTAAGTATCTAGTGATTCTATAGAATTTATTAAGAAAACAAAAACAACAATATAGAAAATTATTCGCCCTAAAAATGATTTCTTTTTTATTTAAAGCTATTGTTCAGTTACAAAAAAATTTCGTTAATTCGCTTTTTTTACAAAGCAGTATTATGTTTATGTATATACATTCATTCATACAAATATACATATAAATCAGTATAATATATGAGTGACACATTAATATTAAACCACCACAAACATTCATTCATATTATTTATTATACGAATTATATACTCGCACCGTTATGAGAATAAAAATAAATGCATGTTTATATACTTATGAAACATAAATTTATAACGGGTCATTATAATAAATAATTTATTCCTTTTATTTTTATTTGTTTGGCTTATATGATTTTTTTCTTCCATTTATTTTTCTCTTATTATATAAAATATCCTTTAAAATCTCACTCTTTTAAGTGAGAATAATATTCTCAACAAATTCCATTTCTCATTATTTAAAGGCATTTAAATTTCATTTTTTATATATACTTATACTTATATAGATGTATGTGCATATTTATAGTGTGTGTGTGTGTGTGTATTAAATTAGCCAAAATATTCATGTTAATTTTTCTTCTTTTCTCTTTTCTTTTGTTTCTTTACTAAGAAGCATAGTATATCGTATACAGTAATTTCTATGTCACTCCTTTTTCTTCCTTCAATGTATTTGTATTTCAAATATAAAAAAAAAATATGAATGTACTTTAATGTGTATACATATACACATACAAAAATTTTATTATCTATAAAATATTAAGTGTACATATACTTAAATATATTCAAAAGTAGTTTGTACTTATTCTGGCATATTATTTATGGATTGGTCTGTATACCGATTTTATAAAACAAGAAAAAAATTCCAGGACATGACGTTTATTTAATGCTCCCATTTTCAGCCAATTTTTATATATTTTATGTTATGTACAAATTTGTGTATGTTCTGGCTCTCTTAAAATTTTATTTTTATATTTTTTTGTAGTTCTTACTAAAATTTCGTTCTTGTATACACCCTCGTTAAATTGAAATAGAATAAAAATTTTTCAAAGTTTTATGAAAATTATGAAATTGAAATAATTTCGATGCCATAAAATTTGTATTTTATTTGAAATTCAATAGAATCGAATTATTGAAATCAATATTTTTTGAGTCATGACTCAAACTAACTCTCGTCTTTAAAAATCTATGGCGTTCACATTTTTGTAATTAATAATAATGCACGTTATAATCCTTATAATATAAAATCTTTAAGCATAATTTAGAATTTAAGTAAATATTTTTCACACACATTAACAAATACAACAACTTAAAAAAAAAACTACCACCCCTGACTATAAGACTTTAAAAAAAAAAATTTTTTATATAGGGAAGAAAAAATTTTTTTATTTTTTTTTTGTTATCATTTTTACATATGCGATAAGAATACAAGATTTTTGTAGAAAACAAAAAGGAACAAAAAATATAAAAACTTTGAACATTAAAATATTGGGAGAGTAAAAAAAATATAAGATAAAGAACAACAACAAAATAAACAATTGCAAAAATGTTATACAAAACAAAAAACAAAAAAACACTCACATACATTAATTTTATGTAATTGTATTTTTCTACACTGAAACAACGTTGTATAAGCAAAAAGAAAAATATATTTTCATTCGTTCGTAAATCGGAAGTTTTCGTAAGTTTTAAAATATCGATCGATTTTCCCTCATTTTTAAAATACACACATTTTAGAGTTGTAACATGCAATATAAAGATTTGTAGTAAAAAAATTTTTTATAATGAACGAATGTATACCTACAAATGTGTATTTATGTATTTTATATACATAGTATTATGTACACGAAGGATAATTATAATTAAAATTGTGCAAGTATAACACTAACAGAGCAAAATATTTCTATATTATATTTTATGAAATATATATACAAAATAAGTATTTAATAATTTATTTAATGTTCGTATTCTTTTAAAATTTTAAACTTTTAATAAAGTTGTGTCTATAATTCAACCTCCATTTCATTAACCTTTGTTAAAAATTGATATCACAAATTTTATAAGTTAGTTATGCATTCTATTTGTATAATTTTCTGTATTTTTTTTTTCAAATGTGTTAAAATTGATATTGCTGCCACGGCAAAAAAAAATCGTCTCGTTTTTCTAAAATTTACTAGTAGAAAGTGAATAGTTTTTGCTAGAATATGCTATTTATGACATACTCAATCCATTTTGATAAAGCGATAAGAACTATACGCAATCAAATTCTGGAACTAAAAGTTTATTATAAAAACCGAAAGTGACAATTACTCAAAACACATGTCATTTGGAAGAGAATTTCTTTAATATTATACAGCTATCTTACACCTTAAATGAACAAAAGAAACAATTTAATAAATTCAGAAACAACATATGAGTAGGAATATTCTTCTTAAATTTTAAAAAAATAAAAAATTACAAGAAATTAAAATTAAAAATAATTTCCAATAAACGTGGAGCATTTCCAATTTTTATATTAAGAATATAAAAAGGAATATTAAGAAGTAGAGATGTATATGAGTTTTTATAGAATTAAAGAGTTCTTAGATTTACAAAAAACATGTGATGAAAGCGAAACATTTACAATTTTCACCCGCAACGCAGACATTTTTTTACTGAATTGAGTTTCTGAAGAGAAATGGAAAAAATTCTAAGTACATGTTTGTTTATTTAAATAGATTTCTCAAGAGAACCGGGTGGCTAAGATAGGCCACATGTAATCGTACACCTAAGCAAATTGGCACATTTGTGCTAATTTGTGCATATATGTATATAAAATTTTATATAATCTATACATATTTTTTTTGAAAGAAATTAATTAAAAATAATTTTGATTTTTTAATTTAATAAATAATTTTAAGTTAACAATCGTCAATCAAAGCTATTATACAATGACCTCCCACCCCCCCCCCCCTTTTAATTAATGAAGTGAAGCATATTTAACTGAGTTTATGCCATCATGGATAATGTTGGTAGCTATTACTATCAAATGTAAGAGTAAAATTTGAAATTATTTCGGTATTTGTAATAAACATTGGTTTCAAACAAATTTTATTTAGAAAATGTATAATCTGCTTTACATTCAATATTATTTCAAGTTTAAATTTATAAAATTGAATTTGTTATATTACCTTATATATACAGTATTGCATATCACTGCATTTTAAACCCCTATAAAATATTTTTATAAAATATTTTAGCATTATACTAGGGTTTGAGTCATTTTAAATCATCAAAATTGACATAAACATGAACATATATGGAAATAGGTTACAAATGCATAAGATGTAAACGTATATTAAATACACATAACACACACAAATATAAAATATATTTATACATTTAAATGTATTTGATATAAATGTAGGTATATTGACTACAAGTAGTTCATCAATTATATGTAGTTAAAATACTACAATTTGTATAATAATTATATAAGTTTACAACCCTATTATAAAAATGAGTATTAAATTTTCTTATAATATATTATACGTATATAAATATATAATATATGTATAATATTTAATATATATAATATATATATACATACATAAATATTAATGAAAATTTAAAAAGAAAATAAAAATCGTTTTACTTCCTTTTTTAATTAATGGATACAAGGAAAAACAAAAAAAAAATAAAATTAAAATATCATAACAAAACATAAAAAATTAATGTGTAAGTGTATGTATATAAATATTTTAAATATATATATATTATATTTGACATATATAAATATTTTTGTATGCATGTATACAATATACATTTTTTTTCCTGTATATATAATGGAGTTTTTTGATCTCTTATAAGAAAAAAAAAATTTTATTCATTCTAGAATATAAAAAAAAATAACCATTATACACACTCATAGACACACACACATGAACATTTTTATGCACATAATATATACGATATACTATCTGTCTATTTTATTTTTCTTTTCCTCCAAATTAATTTAAAATAATTCAATATCCTCCTAGAGCTTTCAATATTTTTAAAAAAAATTAAAATAAAATTTATTTATTTTAATTGCAATTATTCCAATATAACAATGAATTTTAACACTTTTATAATACCCCTCTATATATAAAAGGGTCCAAATATAGATATAGGGTGTTTGGAAAATATATGTATATTCAACAACATATAGGAGTATAGAAGTAGGGGAGGGGGGGCAGTGGGTGGCTAGAGAAGAGGTTAAATTTTAAGTACCTATTTTTAGAAAGAAATTTTCGTTCAATGAACTCATTTTAAAAAAAAAATACTATTTTTTTTTATTCTTTTATAAATTTCAAATTTTTTTTTTAAATTAATTTAAATTAATTTTTTATACATGTATGTACGTAGCTATATTTAAATTTTAAAATTTACAAAAAAAGATTTTATTTTATTATTGAAAATTATTTTTTAAATATTAAAATTATGAAAAATGGCAAACCTTATTTTTCCAATTTGATTTTTTTGTAGTAATTTTCTTCAATTTGTTGTTGTTGTTTTTTAATTAAATTATTTACTTATTTTTATATAAATTTTCATTTATAATTTTTTGAATTTTTTTTTCAAACACTGGTCCCAGGAAATAAATTTAATAGAAAAGTTTTATCGGTGGTCATTTTTATTTTTAATTAAAGTACATATATACTCTTGTATATATGCATGTATGTATGTATGGATGTATAATACTATTCTATATTTTGTTTTTGTTGTATTTTTTAATATTTCTTATAGTTGTTTGTATTATTTTTTTTTTTTCTTTAATTATATTTAACTAAATATTATTTACATTTTCATTTTTTAAATTCATTTAAATTAATTTTTTTTTTTTAATATTATAAACATTTTTTTTTTTCAGTGTACATACATATACATATAATTTGATGTAAAATAATCGTATATTAGATTATGAGGATTTTAAATTTTTCAATGAAAATTTATTTAATTGTTATTGATTTATGAATTATTTTTAAAAATTTTTAAAAATTAAATTAAAAATTAATTTAGCGGAAAATTAAAATTTTTCAAATTTTTTATTTTATGTACAGTTTTTTGTTTTTTTTATTAATTGTTAACGCAGTTCGTTTTCTCTTTTTAGTAAAAATTTCTTCCACAAAAAATCAACTGCATATGTACTTGAGAATTATAAAAAAAAAAGAAGAAAAAAATCAAAATTAAATTAGAATAATTAAGAATTTAAAAAAAAAAAGAAGAAGAGAAGAAGAAAATTTAAATGAAAAACTTTTAAGATTTTTATTCTATTTTTTTTTATTTTTTCTTTTTTTCTTAAAGTCTTTTTAATTTTCCATTTTATTTATGTGTGTATATATATTTAGGAAATATGCTTGTATATATATATATGTATATGTGACATATAATTTATTATTTATTCATATACGTTGTAGGTAAAGTACATGTGTATGTTTTGTGTATAGCTTTCCTGCTTTTCAAAGTATTTATTTCAAAAAAAAAAAAAAGAAAAAATTGAAAAAAAACATGAATGAAATTAAAAAAAAATTAGTATTTCCTCCTTTCTCGTAATTTTTCGTTATTTTTTTTTCACTACTTTTTGTTTTATTTTATAAAAATTTAAGCATTCAATTTCAAATAGAAGTAAAAGGATTTCTTTTTTATTCAATTTCTTTTTTAATTATTTTTTAATTTAATTTGAAAATTTTTTTGGAATATTTATTAATTGTTATCTATATGGATTCTTTCCATATAGTGTGTACCAATGGTAATTGTACCAGAAGAATTAAAGTAGAATTTTTTTTTCTGTGTAACTCAAAACTTTGCCCTCTTTTTTTTTTTTTTTTCGTTTTTAAAGCATATAAAGTTTTTTTTCTTCTTATTATAAAAATTTTTTTTCCTCAGTTGGAAAATTTATTTATTTTAATAAAAAAAATTTGTTTTATTTATTTATATTTTTATAAATTAATTTTTTATTTCTCTGTGTTCTAGTATTCGTACGTACTTTGAATTTTGTAGTTTAATTTTATTTTATTTTTTTTAATTAATTTTTTAATTATTAATTTTAATTTTTTTATGCTTATCGTTTTATTTTTGTTTGTTTTTTTTTTTATTAATTTTTTTTTTGTTTTTTTTTTTAAGAAAATTTCTTACTAATATAAGCACTTTCTTCACTACTCGAGATGCGACGGCGAATTGTTTTTAGAGAAAATTTTTCATTTTTAAAGCGCCTTCATTCTCAGTACAGAAAAAATTTTTTTTTTTCTATTCTTCTTTCTTTTTATTTTATTTTTATTCTTTTATACTTAAAATGTTGGAAGGGGAATTCTTTTTTTTTTTCATATAATGTTTACGTGTGTGTATATGCAAGTGAAAATATTTGAAAGAAATAAAATAATAATAAAAATAATTTAAAAAAAAAAAGAGAATATGAAAAAATATAGAAAAGGGAAATAAAAACTTCCCCACATCAAAGTTATAGAATTCAAGAAAAAAGAAAAAATAGTACAAAATGTATTAAAATTTACCATTATACAAACATGACAACAAAAATGATTAAGAGAAGATGAAAATGAATAAAGTATAAAATATCCTTTTTTTTTTGCTCACAGCGCACGTTATTTGTTTTTTTTTTTCTCTTGTTTTCTTCCTGATAAAAATTCAACTGCAATTTATTCCCGATAAAAGAACAAATATTAAAAAAAATATTTTTATTGGCACCCTGTAAAAATAAAAAAAAAATTATCTTGTACTCATACATACCCTCATGGTTTTGTGACAAAGGAGAAAAAATTGGCCCAAGAAAAATAAAATTTTAATTTTTCGCCGCATTGAGTGATTTTAACAAAAAAAAAAATTGAAAAATTATCAGTTAACAAAGTACTTGTACTTGAATAACAATTATGAATTTTCGGTATTTTCTGTATTTGTTAATGATTTTGATTTCTATCAAAAGCTTCAACTTAAATTGTTCGAATAAAATTTTTCGTTAAATTTAACAAAAATATTTCTTTTATCTTGATTCGCCGCAAATTCTTTATATTTTTACGTTCGATATGGCATTTCCGATGTTTTGTAACGTTCAGTAACAGTAATTCTCATTTCTATTAATTCATAATTTCCATAGTTTAGTAATGCATCTCAATTAGTTCGACAATATTATCGACCAATATTATTTAACAATAAAAACAGAGCCTTAAGATTTAATTTGCTTTTCAACATTTTCTAAACTTGGTTTTTACAACATTTTCGGGGTATTGAAAAAAAATACACATTTCTTTGTTTTCAATAACTTTTTTCTTTTAATAAGCGTCTACAATAATTAAAAATAACACGTTTTTAGACGTGTTAGTGTATTTGACTTGGAAAAAAGCAACTCTAATTTTATGATCGTTTTAAATCTACCGAATTCTTTCCTTCTTTAAAATTAAAATTTTCATTTGTTAAGAAAACATTTAATTATTTTTGAAACAAAATATAAAAAAATGACTTCCAAATGTAAGAAACCATAAAAAAATTAAAAGCTTTGCTACTCTAACAATTTTCTTATTTCTTTAATTTTTTCTTAAAGTGGATTTTATTATTATCTTTTTATTCTATGAGTATCCAACAAATTGAAAATTTTTACATAATATATGTATATATATTTGTAAAAATTTGTTTATATTGTTTATTTTAAATAGAAGAGAAACTAATTAATTAATTAATTATGTACTTCGAGTTAAAATTTATCTGAAAATTTAATTTGTTCAGTCTAACACAGAAAAAAACAATATTTTCTAATTTATTATAAAATTTTATTAAGAACTAGATCATACCAGTTATGGTTGATTATTTTTTAAGAAATGAAAGGCAAAATATTTTTTATATTTTCGAAATGTTTAATTTAAAAAAATGTAAAATGTTTAAATTAAAAAACAAAATTTTATATGATCAGCTCATAATCGACCGAAAGGTTACCCTATTTTGGCGTAATGTCGAGTTACCGACATGTCTAGTATAGGCAAAAAGTTGCACAACATTATAAAAATAACATTGAAACAATTCTTTTACATTTTAGGGACGCTAGTAAGCTTTAAGTTAACATACCTAGAAAAATGTAAATAATACTAGTAAATGTAAATAAGACTCTCGGTAGAGTTTCGCTTTGTACCATTCAAATAATGTGAAAAACTTTTACTAATATATTTATATATTAACTAATGAATTTTTAGTTAATTGTTTTAACACCCTAAATTAAATTTCACGGATGATTATTTCTTTGCATTTGGGAAAACAATTTGCGCACACAGACTGATAGACCGACATCTCTCTAAAAATAGTTTATTTACGCTTCCCTATCATGGTGAAGTGCGTTCCCACTGAAAACTGGATATCCGAAATTTGGTATCATTATACGTAACCTCCCTTATTGTACGGAATGCGGTTGGTAAAAATAAGAAATAAAAATTATAAATTATTTGTGATCCTTGAGCCAAAAATATGAAAAACGGGAAAAGGAAGGGCTATAAATGTAAATTATGTACAAATATCGAAAATTAAATTTATTCAAAGATGACAAAACATAATTATGAATAAAAAATAATGCCTTTTTATATAAATTTATTTCTAGTAAAAAATGTTGAATGTCTCCAGATCTAAGAAGATTTTTAGTTTTTGAAAACTGTTCAAAAAATCTAAGTATTTATTCGAAAGGAAGAATAAACTGATGAATTTACTCTGAATCATATATATTATAAATAACAAAGTCTATAAGTCTATAGTTATGATATAAAAAGACTTCACACTGTAAGTGTATAATAAAAAACCAAAAATATATATTTTTTGTTTGCTTAAAAAACCAGCTCTGCAAAGATTTCTTCTACACCTAGTTGTTCTCTCACATAGATTGAATATCGTACATATTTTAAATATTCCCATACACCAATAATGGAAATTAATTACATATTTTTAATCATTTGCAATTTTTAATAATAATTTAGAAACTTAAATAGCAAAATCAAAAATTTTTTTTTTAATTTGTATGTATGTATATATGTATATGAATTTTATTCGCGATCCACTTGAAAATTTATTCATATACACATATGTATGTGTATGAGTGAATGTTATGTGTTCTTTTATTGTTCTAATTATAATTTTCCATTTACGTATTTGTTTTAAAGAAGTCCAGAAACAAATGTTTACATTTAATTCTCCTTTAGCCATAGCACAAAATACATACTCACAAAAAAAAAAATTTGCAGGGTATTATAAATTATAATATTTATATAAATATTTTGCACCTTAATATCTATGAAATTTATTGTAAGAATCAACTAACTTAAAAAAGATTTCTAATTGGAAAATTTTGATTAGTTTGAATTTGTGATTTTTTGATTGCCAAAATTAATTTACGATACCAATATACATACGACAATATGTAAACAAATAAAGAACTTAGAAATGTATAATGAATGAATTCTTTACAAATTTCTTAATTAAAAATTTTTGGAGGAAATTACTTCAAAAAATGGAATTGTGTGCATTGTTACACCTTACTGTAAGCATTACACGTAAGTATTACGTTAAATAGTGGATTACCGCATTTTATAAATTATAAAATGCATGCATA